AAGGAAGCAGATAACAACAATAATGATAATGATAAGTGACATTTACAGCGAGTTTTAAGGTTTGGAAAGAGCTATACCTAAGTTATCTCATTTGAGCCTCAAGACAACCCCATAAGGCAAGTTCTACAGGGATTACCATCCCCATTTTACAGGTGAAGAAACTGGGGCTCCAAGAGGTTAAACAATTTGCCCAAGGTTGCCTTGCTAATAAGTGTCAGAAATGGAAAAGTATTCCTAATCTTTTTGGGGGGGGGCAATTGGGGTTAAGTGACTTGCCCAGGGTCACACAGCTAATAAGTATCAAGTGTTTGGTCTAAGGCCGAATTTGAACTCAGGTCCTCCTGACTTCAGGGCCACTGCTCTATCCACTGCACCACCTAGCTGCCCCTGAAGTATTCCTAATCTTGAGGCAGCTAGATGGCTCAGTGGATAGAGCACTGGGCCTGGAGTCAGGAAGACCTGAGTTTAAATCTGGCCCCAGACACTTACTGGCTATGTGACCCTGGCCAAGTCACTTAACCTGCTTGTCTCTGAAGAAGGAAATGGCAAACCACTCCACTACCCTTACCAAGAAAATTCCATGAATGGCACTGACATGACATGGTACATGAGATGTTGAAGAGTTAGCCACAACTAAACAATTGAACAACAACATTCTTAATCTTAGAACTGTGGTTTTTCTACTATACCACACCATATGGTCTCTGGAACCATACAGAATACATGCGCTCCCTCTTCCCGATAACAGCTCTTCAGATATTTGAAGATAGTGACTATGACCCCCATAAACATCTTCTCCAGGATCAACCTCCCTGATTCTTTTAGTCTTTCTTCATCCATCAGGGTTGAGTCTTTTCACCATCTTCTAGACATGTACCAGTTAGCCTGCATAACAAAGGAATTAAGCAACTAAAAAGATTCATCTGATGGCCTTGTGAAAACACCATGGAATGTTGGACCTGAAAAGACCCTTAGAGATCATCTAGTCTACCCTTACATTTTAGAAGGAAAACCAAGGTTCAAAGTGGGACAGTTATTGTCAAAAGTCACACAATGGCATAACAAGGCCCAGAACCCAGATAAGTCTCCTGATTTCCAGTTCTATACCCTTTGAAATACAAATTCAAAATTCAATTTTACTTTTCCTTTGTAAATTTCATCCTCCTCTCCCCCAAAAACTAGAATCAAGAAATACTTGTTAATTCATGATTCATATATTTCACTTCAAGGTCTTTAATATCAAAGGACAGAGGCAACACCTAAGAGATGAGTGATGTCACAGCAGAGACTTACTGAGAAGGAAGAGAACCATTCATTGTCCCAGAAGCCAAAGCAAGAGAGAAGTACTCAGCAGGAGCAGGTGATTAACAATGTTACAAGCTTTCAAGAAATCAAATAAGATGAGAACTGAGAAAAAGCCACTGACTTTAGAAGTTAAGTGATTATCAGTCACCTTGGTGACAGCAACTGCAGCCAAGTGGTAGGATCAGAAGCCAGAGGTTTCAAGGGATTGAGAAATGATGGAAAGTGATGTGAAGTCAGAGGCCCTTTCCAAATCTTTATCCCTCATTTTTTTCCCAACCAACTAGACGTTCTTTAGTAATAATGGAAAGAAAAAAAAATGAACTTTTTTGAGTACCTTCACCAACCTGATCCTCAGTTTTCTCATCTGTAAAATGGGAATAACTGCATTTTCACCACCTAACTTACCGAATTACTGAGAGGAAAGCATTTCCTAAACCTTAAATATGAGTTATTTATTATTATTATTATTATTATTATTATTATTATTAGGTAAGGACATCAGTATATCCCTTCTACCTCCAGAGTTTTTTACTTGGAGTTTGTGAATTAAAAAGAAAAGTTTTTTATAACTTTATTTCAATATAATCAGTTTCTTTTGCAACCTTATGCACTGCATTTTATGAAATTAAATTTATTAATTTAAAAATATTCTGCAAAGGGGCAAGTATCTACAGGTTTCACTAGACTACTATTATGATTCAAATCAAGGGAAACTGAGGTACAAAGTTCTCAGCAGTTCAATTTATTGGTAAAGCTAACCATAACCAATAAAAAAAAAGGGGGGGGGAGGTCTCAGCTCCTCAGCAAAAAAAAAAAAAGGACCCTACATGAGGACAGATAGATCATTTTTACAGACAAAAGGAGATCCAAAAACTAGAAGGCAGCATCATGGGTGGAGAGAACAATACTATTGGTTACAAAGTCTGAAGCATTACAGGTGTGGGGTGACAATATAATTGGCCAGAAATCAGGAATTCAGACTAGCAACAGCCCCTCCTTCCATCTTGTCACCATGGAAAAGCTCACTGGTGGTGTCCACCTGCATAGCTAGTTAGTGTCACAGGGCTAACACACCAGACTTTCTGGAAGGACTGTCAGTGTAACAGAGAAAGCAGACCAGACTCATTGGCATCCACTTGCATCCTTCAAGGACAGTAGATTTCCTTGACACAAGAATATAACAATAATTACCAGGAAAACTGAACTTCTAAACTTAATTAACTCAGAGAAGAAAGCTGAACTTCTGAACTTAACTCAGAGACAAAGAAATGTGACTCAGGCAATATTACAAAACATTGGTGGTGATATAAAATAGAATCAATTACAAAAAAGAGACAATATCAATTTGATTTTCCCACTACCAAAAGGGTCTAGGACACAAAAAAGGTTAACAACCCCTAGTCCAGCACTAAGATTTTATTCTATTCTCCATTTAGTAACCATGCAACTGGAAAAGGAATCTCTGCCTTCTGCCTCTAACTTGCTATTAAGATCTGGGGTGGTTATTCTCTCTTCTCAATCTTGATTACCCCATTTGTAACATGCATGGGTTGGACTCAATAATCTTTAAGGCTGTTCCCATTTCTAAACATTCTACGGTACTAAAGCATGACATGAGCAGCCTGTATTGGTTTCAAAGGCCCTCCACAATCTGGCTCATCTTACCATCTTTCCAACATTACAGCCAAATCTGTCCCTGTTCCCTAATACTCACCAAACATTCCAGCCCTAGCCTCCTCATCATCCATCTCATTCCTGGAGAGCAGAATGCTCATCACTCTTTCCTTCTCAAAAAGTTTCACTTTGCCCAAATTCTTCAAAGTTCAGCCCAAGTTGCACCTCCTCAGGGAAACCTCCCAGAAATCTGCAGCTCAATAAATTCATTCCTCCCACACCATTTCACACATTTCAACCTACCATTCACTAAGTTTTATAGCAAATCCCTTCTGGAAAACAACAAAAGCTGGTTTGAGAGGGTGAAACTGGAGAAGAAAAAGTCAACAACTCTTGGGCATAGTTTCCTCATTTGTAAAATAAGGTCCCAGGAAAAGGTGTGGTGCAGTGGCAAAAGTGATAGATTTGGATGGAATCAGTCAGTCCAGGTTCAAATCCTGGCTGTAACACTTAGAATCATAAAACCATAAATTTCAAGCTGGACAGAATCTTAGAGCACCTATTTCAACCCCTTCATTTTACAGAAGAGGAAACCAGGGTCCAAAGAGACAAAATTATTTGTCAAGCTCACAAGTTGGTAAGAATAGAGTAGGCATTAGAAATGCAAAAAAAAAAAAAAAAAAAACACCTACTGCTCTCCAGGAGCTCACAGTCTAATGAAGAAGACAACATAGAAAAAAACTAGGTCAGGGCAGCTAGGTGGCACAGTGGATAGAGCACCAGCCCTGAAGTTGTCAGGAGGACCTGAGTTCAAATCTGGCCTCAGACCAAACTGCAAGTCACTTAAAAAGAAGGACAGAAAGAAAGAAAGAGAGAGAGAGAGAGAGAGAGAGAGAGAGAGAGAGAGAGAGAGAGAAAGAGAGAGAGAGAGAGAGAGAGAGAGAGAAAGAAAGAAAGAAAGAAAGAAAGAAAGAAAGAAAGAAAGAAAGAAAGAAAGAAAGAAAGAAAGAAAGAAAGAAGCAACTAGGTCCAAGCAAGACATACACAAGATAAACTGAAGATAATCAACAGAGGGAAGGCATAAGAATTATGGAGCATCAGGAAGGGCTTCTTGCAGAAGGTGAGACCTTAGCTGAGACCTGAAGAAAGCCAGGGTAATCAGCAGACAGAGATGAGGAGGGAGAGAGAATTCCAGCATTCTCTAGCCAGAGAAAATGCCCGGAACTGGGAGACGGAGTATCTTGCTGGAGAACAGCAAGGAGGCCAGCATCACTGGATTATAAGGTACAAGGAGGGAGAATAAGGGGTAAGAGGACTGGAAAGGTAAGAAGGGTCAGACTATGAAGGGCTTTAAAAACAAAGGATTTTCTGTTTGGTCATGGAGTTAGCAGGGAGCCACTGGAATTTAACGAATGGAGGGTGGAAGAGGGAAAGAGTAAAATGGTCAGACGTGCTTTAGGAAGATCAATTTGACAGCTGAGTAGAAAATGGACTGAAGCATGGAGACACTTGTGGCAGGAAGTCCAACCAGAAGCCTAATGCAATAGTTCAGGTAGGAGGTAATAAGGGCCTGAACCAGAGCAGTGACAGTGATAAAGGAGAGAACGGGGAGTACATCAGAGATGTTAGAGTGGAAACTACAAGACTTGGCAACAGACTGGATGAGGGGGGGAGGAGACAATGAAAATGAGGAGTAAGGATGACACACAGGTTGTCTCCGGGGTGACTGGAAGGAAGGTCATACCTTTGACAGTAAAAGAAAAATTAAGAAAAGGGAAGGGTTTGGGGGAGAAAAAGTTCTGTTTTGAGATGTTGAGTTTAAGATATCTAGGAGACAACCAGTTAAAGATCTCCAATAGGCAGTTGGAAATTAGAGACTAGAGGTCAGGGCTAGTTAAGTAAATCTGAGAATCATCAGTATAATGAAAATTTAATCCATAGAAGCTGATGAGATCACCAAGAAAAATAGCATAGAGGGAAAAGAGAAGAGGGCCCCCAAAGAGAGCAGAATCTTGGAGGGTACCCATGGTATTTAATAATTTGTGGCCTGAATGAAGATCCAGCCAAGGAGTGGCTGGACTGGCAGGAGGAGAACCAGGGAAGAGCAAGGCCATAAATACTTAGAGGGAAAAGAATATCAAGGAGAAGTGGGTGATAACAATATCAAAGGCTACATACTCTAGAAGAATGAGGATTGAGAAAAGGCCATCAGAATGCGCAATTATGAGGTCACTGGAATCTCTCCAGAGAACAGTTTCAGTGGAATGATAAGCTCAGAAGAAAGACTACTGAAAGGTAAGAGAGTGTAGACACCAATTAAAGACAGCCTTCTCCATGAGTTTAGCCCAAAAAAGGGGAAAAGATATGGGAAGATAGCTAATGGGGATGGCTGGATCAAGTGAGTTTCTTGTTTGTTTGTTTTGTTTTTTGCTAGGCAGTGGGGTTAAGTGACTTGCCCAGGGTCACACAGCTAAATGTCAAGTGTCCGAGGGCAGATTCAAGTGAGGGTTTCTTGAGGATTGGGGGAGACATAAGCATGTCTATAGGCAGCAGTTAAGTAGCCACTAGAGGAAGAGAGATTTGAGGATTAGTGAGAGATGGATGAAAGACAGAATGGTCAACCTGCTGAAGTAATATAGCAGATGCTCAGAAAATAGTTGATAATGAGTATATCCCAAGCCAAAGTTTTTAAAACCAGGTATCAAGAGTTAAGATTTTGTTTAAAAAGAAATTAGCAGCCAATAAATAAAAACCATATGAATGAAACCAGCTTATCTAGATCTTTCTCAACCCACAGCTCTGAGTTTCCTGAAAGTATATTTCATTCTGAAGCAAAGTACTTTTAATAACATCAAGAAAGTTTCAGTTCTTCAGCACCGTCTAACCAAAGACTCCCCTTCCCACCAGCCCCCTGGCTATTATCTATTGTTAGAAAGAAAGAGATGGAAGTACAGTTTAAAGTTCCTACTGCAGAAAGACAGAAAAACACTTTTCCTTCAGTTTGGTCCTCCCAGTTATCCTATCTAGTCTAGAAGCAACTTAGAATTGGCTCAAAGAATAGTCAGTCACAGAATATCAGAGTTGGGAGGGACTTTAGAACACAGAAAATGGCTAACAAATGTTTTGCATGACTATAGATATAATGGGTCTTGCATTTTTTGCCTTCTCAATGGTTGGGGGAAGGATAGAGTGAGGGAAAGAATTTGGAATTGAAAATAAAATAAAAATTGTATTATTAAAAAAAACAAAAAACAATATGGAGAGTATTAGAGCCAAAAGAAATCTTAGATCATCCAACCCAAATCCTTCACTTTACAGATGGGGAAATGAGGCCCAGAGAGGGGGTGTGACTTGCCTATTGTCTAACACAAATTACAGAAACCAAATCCCAATCCAGTTCTATGCTCTGAGAAACTCAGAACTTCTTAAGGTTAGGGGAGTCCTAAGGAAACAGAAAAGTTCTAATAGTTACTAGTTTTCTTTTCAAAAGAAAGCATTTTGCAAACTTTAAGAGCCCTATGTAAATGTGAGTTACTATTGCTATTCATAATTATTAAAAAAGCTCTTTAGAACCGTTTACCAAAGGAAATGAAGTACTTTCTGAGCAATCCCATTTTTTAAAAAAGTTGTCCTTTAATAAGATTTTGCAACTGACAGACCCTTTATCCCAACTTTTAGTACAGAAAATATGGTCAGAGAAATTATGTGCAACTGAGTTGGCCTCAAAAAGAACACAGAAAAAATTTAAGCACATCTCTTTTGAAGTGCAAATAGCCAAATGGGTTTAAGCCCAGCCAGAAATAAAAGTACAAAAGTATCTAGCAACTCTTTTGAAATACAAATACGTCAACAGAGTTAAACCCAGGAGTCATTCTCACCTAATCAGCAACTACAAAAATTGGAAAATTTGCCTAAAATGCAGAAATTTGTCTAAAATACCAGGAATCCCGGGCAGTTTTGCAGAGAGGAAGCAAATATTCACGCAGCATTTTTCTAACTCAAAAAATATTTTTAGGCCAGAAGGTGTAAAGTGCAAAAATTATGATCCTCATATTAAAGAGGAAAATGAAGCTTGGAGAAATTAAGTGACCTAAGAGTTGCAGCCAGCATTCAGAGCCAGATCTTCCAGGGCCAAGTTCAGTGTTATGTAGCATACACTGGGCTGCCTCCAAGGAAGGAAGCCTCTAGAGAGATTTCATCTGAAGACTTGGATTTGAGACCCAGCTCTGCAACAACTGCAGCAGCTACCTCTGGGGCAAGTCACTTCAGCTCATGATAAAGCAAGGGAATTGTTATAGGTGATCTCTAAGGTCCTTCCATTCTAAGATCCTATGATGTATAAAAGGCAATAAACAAGTTAAGGAGCTGGAAATGAGCTTATTTAGCATAGTCAAGCAATAGCTACATTAAAAAAAAAACCCAACAACAACACTTCAAGTCCCAGCCACAGCTGATGTGGAAGGAGGTAGTAATTAGCAAAGTCTTACAGCTCTCAAGGCTTCTGAGGAACAAACCCACAACCAAGATAGCGTCTAGGGCTGGGTCTCTGGAAAAGGTGGGGGTGGGGAGGGGGGCTTGGAGCCTCAAAGAATAAAGCCAGAGGATATTAAAACAACACTGTCAATATTCACCAAGAGCGCTAGAGCTCCTGGAGCCAACCCTACAATTTGAAAGCATAGACACGAATCTTTATTTAAAGAATTACCTGACACTTCTTCGGTCAACAAATGATGAAGGTATTTGTTCATGGACGGCTTCCAGATTAGTAACTTGGGTTCTGCCTCGCCCCAGAGAACCACACACCACACTAGCAGCTGACCTATGGGTCTCCAGTATTCATTCAGCTGTTCCAGAGCAGTTAAAATAATTACAAGGAAGAGGAGGGTACAGTCAGTCACTGGCTCCCCTCCACCTACCCTCATTAACTCTTTAAACACATTCAGTACCTAGAGAGCAAGTATCGGCCAGTATGCTGGCTCTGAGGAAGTGCGGGGCTGAATTCAGAAAGAAGACCCTTCAGAAAAAGAAATGCTTTGCATACAGTTTAGTTCTGATTGGGAAGGAGTGGCCTTCAGAAGCACATCTGCTTCACGGGGGGGAGCTTTAAGTGAATGGAGACAGGAAAGTGCTTTAAGCTTTTAAAAATTAGAAACTGAAGAGATTCTCCTAATCATCTGAGAGTTACTGTAGTTGGGAGGACGAACTACTGGGGTAAGTAAAGAGATTCATCTGGGGATTTTTGCCAAGTAGCACTTTAGGAAAACAAGTTTAATTGGACCAATTCTCTGGACAGAAGAGCAAGGGTAGGGTGAAGGGGCGGGGGAAGAGCACATTGTTCTTGGAGTCAGAGGTCCCTGGATCTGCAGCAAGGTTTAATAGCAGCTCTGGCAAAGTCACTTCCCTTTCTGGGTCTGTTTGGGGGAGAGATCTAGTAGGGCCCTAGAGATCCACCAGTCCAACTCTCATTTTAAAGCTAAGGTCCAAGAAAATAAGTGACCTGCCCAAGATCTTTCAGGCAGTAAGTAACCAAGAAAAGAATCAATCCAAGCCTGGCTTGTGAAGATCATTAGAGATAATGAACAGAAAGCACTTGACAAGCCTGAAATCTCTAAATCAGTTCTTTCTACATTGTATCTGCTACCTTGGACAAGTCATAGTCTCTCTGGGGCTGAAATTTCCTCAACTATAAAATGAGGATGCTGGACTTCTTCCCATCTGGCCTCTGGGGTCCCTTGAAGATCTACATCTGTGATTCTCTAACTTCTCAGGGTTTTTATGAGGAAATCACTTTGTAAATCAAGACGAAGCAGTACTCTTGACAGTAAAAGGAAAATTAGGAATCCGGGAGGACTTGGGGATGGGAGAAAGAAATAATGAGTTTAGTTTGGGACATATTCACCTTAAATGTCTAGAGTACATCCAGTTCAAGATTTCCAACAGGCAGTTGGAAATTTGAGACTGGAGATCAGTGTTGGGTAAGTAAATCTGATAATCATCAGCATAGGGAAAATTGAATCCACAGAAGCTGATGAGATCACCAAGAAAAGTAGTATAGAGAGAAAACAGAACTCTGAACGGAGATCAAGCAGCCAATAAACATTTATTAAGCTCCTACTATGTGTCAGGTAATATGTTAATCACTGATAATACAAAAAAAGATAAAAGACCATCACTGCTGTCAAGGAGCTCATGATCCAGTGGGGTAGACAAATAAATACATACAAATAAGCTACATACAGGATAAATAGGGAATAAATAAGAGGGAAAGCATTAGAATTAAAAAGGGTTGGGAAAGGCTTCCTGTAAAAGGTAGGATTTTAGTTGAGACTTAAAGAAATCCAGGGAGGTGAGTAATTAGAGTGGGGAAAGGAGAATGTTCCTGGAATGGGAGACAGAGAGAAAGAGAATGCCCAAAGCTGAGACCCTAAGTCTTTTGTTCATGGAATAATAAGGAGGCCAGTGTCACTAAATCAAAAAATACCTGGATGAGTACAAGGTGTAAGAAGGCTGGAAAGGTAGGAGGCAGGCTAGGTTATGAAGAAATTTAAACCCCTGACGATTCCGTACTTGATCCTTACTGAGTAGGGAGGGTGTGACGTGATCAGATCTGCACTTTAGGAAAAGCACTTTGGTGGCTGAATGATTGGGGGGTGGGGGGGAGTTTTAAGATGTCTACTGACATCCAGTATGAGATGTCTGAAAGGCAACTGGAGACTCAAGACTGGACAGTAAACAGAGAGGTGGGTTTGAGAATTATCAGCATAGAGTCTGTACTTAAATTTATTGGGTGCTGAAGAGATCAACAAGTGAAGTAGTTTAAAGAAGGGAGCCCAGGACAGAACTTTGTGGGACACCTATAGTCAGGGGGTGAGGTCTAGATTAGGATTCCACAAAAGAGACTGAGAAGGAGCATTCTGATAGGAGAAGCAGGAGAAAGAGGTGTCCTAAAAACCCAGAGAAAAGAATATCAAGGAGGAGATGGTCATCAACAATGTCAAAGGCTACAGAGAGGTCAAGGAGGATGAGGATTGAGAAAAAGCCACTGGGTTTGGCAATTAAGAGATCTTAGTAACTTTGGAGAGCAGTTTTAGTGACATTATGAGGTCAGAAACAAAATTACAAGGAGTTAAGAAGAGTGAGAGGAGAAAAAGCGGAGACACCTATTCCATATAGCCTTTTCAAGGAATTTAGCCACGAAGAAAAGAAATAAAGGAAGACAGTCATCAAGGATAGAAGGATTAAGTGAGAGTTTCTTGAGGATGGGGGCAGACATGAACATGTCTGTAAACAGCAGAGAAGTAGCCAGTAGACATGAAGAAATTGAAAGAGGAATAAAGTGGGAATGGTAATGGGGGCAGTCTGTTAAAGGAGACAAGACATAATGGGATCCCTTCAGCAGGTAAAAGGGTTATTAACCTTGGAAAGGAGTAAGGCCACCTTATATGAGACAGCGGTGGAGGAGAGAGTGGCAGAAGGTACCTGAGTGATAGGAGAGGAAGAGGAGTTCACAGCTAATGACCTGCATTTTTTCTGTAAAATATGAGGCAAGGTTCTCAGATGAGAAGGCAGGGAGCCATGAGAGGTTTGAAGAGGGATGAAAAAGTTTGGAAGCGCTACTATGGAGAGTGAGATAGTGATTTGATGAAGGAGGTATAGTAGGATTGTCTAGCAGCAACGGCCCAGTTGAAGTTGTGCAACAAAAATTTGTAGTGCACCCAGTCACAATGGTGCCTTGATTTTCTCCACCTTTGTTCAGTGGTATGTGTATAGGAGCAAAGGCAGGACGGATGACAGGAGTGATCCAAGGCTGATGGTAACAATTCAAGACTGAAGCTTATCAGGGCACAATCAATAAAATGATCTGGGGGCTAGGGACTCAAGAGAAAAGGACAGTGTAGAGTTGAACTGCTTCACCAAGTGGTCAAGATGGGGGAAAGAGTGACAAGTGTAGGGCACATGGCCTAGGAGAGAACTGAAATGTCAAGGGATTAGAGGTCATAGTGTAGACAAATAAGGTTTGGAATGGAAAGGGAGAGGTGGAAAGTCAACAAATTACAGTTAGATATGAGGATTCTGGAATTCTTGAACACAAGAAGTGGTACATTTGTGGCTGATGGCAAGATCAAGGGTATGACCATCTTTACGCATGGCTGAGGTGGAATGGAGGAGAAAATCATGGAAAATGAGGAGGTTGAGGAAATGAATGGTTAGGGTTTCTGAGACAGTAAATGTGTGTGTTGAAGTCCCCTAATATGTGGTCAAGAATTGGCAAGAAAAGAAAAAAAACTGTGAGCTAACTCAATAAGGAAGGAAGGGAAATGATCTGGAAGTCTGTAGACCATAGCTACCAGGATTTTGATTGGGTGATAGAGATAAGCAGCAAGAACCTCAAAGGAAGAGAGGTTACTGAGTAATGGAGGTAGACAGAGAAGCTGGAAAAGAAAAGGAAAGAAGAAGTATTCCACCTCAACTAGTGACCTGAGGGGAATGAGGGAAGGTGCAGCCAGTACCAGAAAGAGTGGCCAGGGAGGCTGTGTCATTGGGTAGAGCCAGGTTTCAGTAGCAGCCAGAAGATGAAAGGAGTGGGAGAGGAAAAGATTTAGGATGAAAGGAAGTTCGTTGCCTATGAACAAGCATTCCAGAGGGTACAATGGAAGGAGAGGGTAGTGTTTGATTGGGACTTGTGGACTGTGGAGAAGGAAGGTGGAGAGGTTTGAAAGTAAAGAATCAAGTGGTGGAGGAAATGGAGTCAAATAGTTTAGATAGGAGGCCCCATTTCACTACTCTTCTCTCTAAAGGTTGGAGATTAGGCAGGAAACAGTACAGGGGTGGGGAACCTGCAGCCTTGAGGCCATATGTGCCCCTCTAGGTCCTCAACTGCAGCCCTATGACTGAGTCCAAGTTTTGCAGATTTGTTCTATGAAGTTTGGAATTCAGTCAAAGGGCTGCACTTGAGGACCTAGAGGGCCACACATGGCCTCAAGGCTGCAGGTTCCCCACCCCTGTATGGGAGATGAAAGTTGAACCTGCCCAGCAGGAGCAGGAAGCTCCATTCCCCACTGACTTTCCTTTTCCTCTTCTTCCCTCAAAAGACAGGCACAGCAGGAGACTGAAGGTCTGAAATCAAAAGGAAGGTTGCTCCTCTATGCACTGAAGGTTCTCCACATCCTGGTTGGGAGATCAGGCTGACAGTAGGAGGTGGGAGTTACCTTGTGCTGGCACAGAAAGAAGTCCTCCTGCCACCTTCCCAACAGAGATAAGAAATAGAAGGTGCTCAATTGGAGGAATGTCTGGTTCTTTTTCTCACCTGAAGCTGGAAATCAGGAGATACAGTAGGAAGTCTTAAAGCTCTCGGTTAATGGGGAAGTTGCTCTGGGGCAGATGGAAGACTGGGCCAGACCCTTGCAGTCTTACTTCAGGTGACATGTGCAGCAGAAGATGGAAAGCAGGAAATCAGAGAAGAAAGCTGGGAAAAACTCACTGTTAATAACAGTGGCCTGGATGAAAATTCAGCAAAGGAAACTGAGGAATGGTCAGACTGGCAGGAGGAGAACCAGGAGAGAGCAGGGTCATGAAAACGTAGAGGGAAGCCAATATCAAGGAAAAGAAGGTGATCAATACTATCAAAGGCTACAGACTGCTCTAGAAGGATGAAGATTGAGAAAAGGCCATCAGAATGGGCAATTAAGAGATCATTGGTATCTTTGGAGAGAGCAGTTTCAATGGAATGATGAGGTTGGAAGACAGAATGCTGAAAGAGAGTAGGAGGAGAAGTGGAGGTACCAATTGTAGTAGTCAGTCTTCTTGAGTTTAGCCAAAAAAGGGAGAAAAGATATGGGAAGATAGCTAATGGGGATGGCTGGATCAAGGGAGAATTTCTTGAGGACTGGGGGAGACATGGGTATGTCTGTAGGCAGCAGGTAAGGAGCCACTAGACATAGAGAGATTGAAGATTAGGAAGGGGAAGGATAGAGGGGAAAATCTGCTGGGGAAAATAGGATGGGATGGGATCATTTGTGCACATAGAGGTGAGCCTTGGCAAGGAGAAGGGGCACCTCTTCATGTGAGATGGGTAAAGGAGGAGACAGAGGCAGAGCCAAGTGATGTAAAATGAGATATACAGAAGAGGGAGCTCTCAATGAATGGCCTCAATATTTTCAGTGAAATATAAGTCAAGGATCTCAGATAAAAGGGAAAGGGAAGGGGCTCTCTTTCAAAATTTGAGCATGAAAAAAAGGTTTGGAAAAGCCACTATGGAGAGTGGGACAATGATTCAATTAGGGATCTGTAAAAGGATTGCCTTGCCCAGGAAAGGTCCAATAGAAAATGGATAACAAATTTGTAGTTATCAGCATGTTTTAATGATTTCCTACAGCTTCTTTGTTGTTGTTCAATTATCACCTCCAAGCAGATGACTCCCCAAACTATATATTCATCCCTATTCTCTCCTGAATTCCAACACCACATATTCAATTGCCTAGCGGACAATAATAATGTCCCATAGCCTCAAACTCAACATTCCCAAATAGAAATCATGACTTCCTTAAAACTGCCCTTCTCCCATTTCTGTTTAGGATACCACCACATTCCCAGTTACCCAAATCCATAAGCTTAGTGTCACTTTTGGCTCTTTCCTCTGCCCCAACATCCTACCAGTGGCTATATCCTATAGATTCATCCCCATAGTTCAAATCTGTCTTTTCCCCTCCATTCACAACTATCACCTAGTTTAGACTCTCATTTGCTTTCATGTGGACTAATATAATAGCCTCCTGGTTTATCTTTCTCTTTTTTTCCCCACTCCAGACTAATTTTCACAACACCAAATAATCTTTTAAAGCATAGTTCTGACCATATATGTCGCTTCTTTACAATGGTTCCCATTACTTTTATGCTAAGATGCAAAATCCTCAGCTTGAAGTCTAAGGCTCTCCCAAATCTGACTCCAAACTACTTTTCCAGCTTTATTTCATATTGTTTTACGATTCCACCAATTCAGACTACTTGCTAGCTGTTCTCCGAACGCTTCCGCACACAAACCATCCCACATGTCTGGATACTTGACCTTGAATTTCCCCTTGCCAGTATTTGAAAGCTCAGCTCTGATGCTGATTCCTCTGTGACCCTCCCAGGTGTTAGTGTTCTTGACCTCCTTTCACTTCCAATCTTGTACATGCTGTATTCTCCCCAGCAGAACTGAAACTCCTTTTGGCGTGGCAATGGGGCACAATGGATAGAATGCTAGACTTACACTTGGAAGACCTCGGTTCGAATCCTGCCTCCAACGTCTACTAGCTTTGTGACCATGAGGAAGTCAGATAGTATATATAAACCACTGTAAACATTAAAATGCTCTATAATATTAATTTATATCACCGACGGCAAGAACTGTCTTCTTTGTGGTTATCCCCAGTGCCTTAAGCACAGTAGGTGCTTAATTTATTAACCCGAAGCAGCCACTTGCAGATAACACATTTATGTCTGCAGTGTTTTAAAGTTTACAAAATGCTTTCCTCAAAATTACCTAGTTACAAATATGTAAATTCCAGCTAAGAGAGGTGAACTAATTTGCCCAGTGTCACACCACTAGAAAGCATCAAACCCAAAATTAAAAGCCAGGTCTCCTTCCTTCAAGTCCAGAGCTCTTTTCACTATTGTTAAGAAATGTCAAAACCAGTCACTGGCATTGTACTGCGATAGAATCAGAATTTCATTGACAGAAGGGACCTCAGAAATCAGTATTTTATGCAGCTACCTCATACTGCTCTAAATCAGCACAATGGAAAGGAGTCAAGCCAAGGAATCAGGAGACCTGGGTTTGCCACTGTGTGACCTTAAGTGAGTCAGGGATCGACTATGGAACTCAGCTGCACTGGCTATAAAATGAGAGTAGACTAGATGATCACTAAGATCCCTTCCAGCCGACACTCGCAGATTATGAACAAAAAATAGACTTTTCCTTTTTTCAGTCTTTAACAGATAGATTAATGCCAAACAGCACTTGTACCTGGGCTAACTGACTCAAAAGTAAGACACCTTAACAGTGAGCTGCTTTGCTTCCCACAAATCAGTCCCAGATACTGCACCCTGACTCCAGACCTGGGCACCAGGGAAACTGGCCGTCACTGTAAATCCATCACTATTACAGGCGGTCCTCAGCTTAGCAACAGGCTAGGTCCCAACAGTAAGTCCAGCTTTAAATTAGCAGTTTTATAACGGAACACATTTTCCCACAGAATAAAGTTTTGTAAATGGCAGTTCAGTTGTCAGGTCAGCCCACAAAAGCCCATTGAATTCAAAATGCAGTATGAACCCCACTCAGCAAACATAATCAGTCTGTAAGGGCACTGTTAATAGAGATATACAAATGGGAAAATCAGTCTCAATCTTGAAGATGCTTATTACCTTCTTGGTACAAAACAAAAAAACCTGGAGCTAAAAGGTACCTCGGGGGCATCTCGTCCAACTCATTAATCCATTCTACAATATTTCTGAGAAATGTTCATCTGGCCCCTGTTTAAAGGTCTCCAATGACAGCTGATTACACTGACGATGCTAATTGTTAAGGTTTTCCTTATAATTAGCTGAAATCTGTTTCCTGTAACTTCTATCCAGTGGTCCTAGTTCAGCTCTCCATGATAAAGCAAAATCATCCATATGCTAAAATTGTCATAGAACACATTAGTACTCCACAAGTTAGCCACTGGTAATACTACAACCACTTATAAACAAAAGGAGGCAAGGCAGATACCAGGAAAGAGGAAGTCAACAGATTGGCACCTTGTTTTTAGAGCCATAAGCCTATTTTCAGATGTGCTACTGGACCAATGTTAATAATTCTCAAGATCTCATTTGTGTCATATGCAGCAGAATGCATGTGTCATGCTTAATAATGGTTACCAGTTTTTAGGTATTATTAAACATGTGTTGTTAGTAATAAGGAACTGGTCATGGAGTTGGAAGTGTGGTTTATAGTACAAAGGTGACTGGTGTTTGTGAGTTAAAAGACTCTTAGTCCTAAATCTGCCAATAAATAAACAAGTAACTTTGGGCCTCCTCTCCCTCTCTGGGCAGTGTCCTCATCTTTCAAATGACCCTTCTGGCCTGATAGTCAATATTCTAGGTTCTAACATTCTGTAGTTTTATTTAGAGGTAACATCATTACCTCCTAGAGTTTAAAAAAAAAAAAGCAACACTCCAGCATCTTTAAATACTAATTTAACAAATATTTAGTAAGTACCTATTAAATGGCTAACCCTGTTGAGCAAGGACAGTGCCATGTGACAATGTATTCCATTTATAAAATTACCACCATATTTTATCACCTTAACATCCTTTACAATGGAAATAGCTATTATTAGCACCATCTTCAGATGAGGAAACTGAAGGCCAGAAGGGCTGTGTTCACAAACACACAGATTTAGTGGGGCTAGAACTCATGTCCACAGGCTCCTAAGTGAAGGATACCACACATAACATATGGTTCAGTGAGAAGATAACTAAAGTTGTAGTGAGAAAAGCTGTGATCTACCATCATCATCTCTACCATTTATTGTGTAATCTTAAGTCAATCGCTTTCCTCAATGGGCCTATGAAATAATCATCCCTGCTCTGCTAGTTTCACAGGAGTATTTCAACTAATCAACTAGCACTGTAAGGGGGAAATAAAATAAGTTTAGATAAGTCTCTACCTTCACAGACTTTAGTCTGATGAGATACTAGACAAATACACTTAGTTACCCATCATGTGCAAAACTCTACTGGGACTACTTAGAAAGATACAAAGAGACATCAAGCATGGGGCCCACTCACCCCCATTCCTCCTCCCCAGACCCCCACTGAGCTTACAGTCTAGTTAGGGAGACAACTGCACAAGTTCAACAGTGTTCAAAGGCTTCAAAAGCTCAAGGGAATTCAAGGTTTTAGGATTAAATGGAACTTTGCTTTGCAATCTCAAATGTAAAAATCAGCTTCTTGGGTCACCTGCTCTATTCTCAACTCCTATTCCTATCTTTTCTGACAAAAGATGGAAAACAGAAGAACACTTTAGTCTTTGCTTTAAACAGAGTACCAGGTACTGTGACACAGAGGCAGCTATGGTTGTGCAGTAGATAAGAGCTCTGGGCCTGGAATCAGGAAGACTGCACTTCAGATCTGGCTTCACTTTCTAGCCTTGACCTTGAGCAAGTCACCTAACCTTCACTGGCCTCAGTTCCAACCGTAAAATAGGGATGATAATAGGATCTGCCTCACTGGGTTGTTGTGAGGATCAAATGAGATACTAGTTAAGCACTTTGTAAGACCCTTTCAGAGGAGTTAGGAGCCTCAAATGAGAATTCATGAGGCACTCTGGAAAGGTGAAAAGAATGCCCAGAACATCACATTTGGCTTGCTCTGCCACTTATTCGCCATGTGACTACTAGCAAGTGACTTGACCTAAGGGTAAAAAGCCTGGAGTTACCCTGGAATAAAATCAGAGAACTGGATTAGACATTTCTAAGGTCTCTTTGGGCTGTCAATCATACGATCCAATTATCCTGGGTAAAAAGGCTTCAAAAACTATAAAGCACTGTAAAAATTTATAGTATTAACCCTACTCTCTTCTACTTTTCCAGGTGAGTATGCAGTAAACCTCTTGGTAAACAAGGGTCCGTTTTCTCTCTCTAGTTGCCAATGCCTGCATGGTTATGACTTCACATTTACAAAATACTAAGAGAAGCAGCTTTTCCAGAGAAATCACAGGAAAAAGTCTTTTTTCACAGGTGTTCTTCTGAGTCCATGATTTGGACCGGAGGGAGGCCTAGCACCTTTTAAAGCTCTTTTCTTTCTTCTCTGAGAGATGCACATGGCAAATACTATTAGCTCCATATTACCAAAAAGGACAAGGCTCAAAAGATAAAAATAAGTTGCCCCTCCACTCCTGCCACTCCAGTACCAAAATGGGACAGGAACTCAGAACACCGAAGACAAGTCCTGTGCTCTGTGCTGCTCTCAAGGTGCACATCCTTCTACCTAAGTATCAGGCACTTAGAAGGCATTTCAAAGTTTGCAAAGTGCTTTCCTCACAACCCTTTGAGACAGCTACTGCTCAGTGCCAGCAGTGTCCCTATTTTACAGATGAAGGAATTGAGGCTCAGAAAAGTGAGATGAGAGACTTGCTCAGGGCCATGAATGAGATTCCAACCTAGCTCTCTCCTGACTCTTCAGTTCAATACCCTTTTCAATGCACCACACAGTCATCTAGGTTATCCTCATTTTCACAGAAGACACTGAGGCTTAGAGAAGGGAAGCACTTGCCCACGATCACTCAGCCAAGTTCAGGGCCAGATCTTTTTGCAGCCAACTCTGGCACCCCCTTTTCTACCCCTCCCCAGGACCTTAGGTGGTCCTGTCTTAAACCTAGCAAGCCAATAGTTTAAAAAGAACAGGCAGCACCATGTTCAGATGAACAGTTCTGGTTTGTTAATGCTTCCCCACTCCCCTAAAAAAAAGCCCAGAAGCCAAGATCGAAATCATTGATTTTTATTACTTAACATTGTGTGCTGGGTGCTGTGACAAAAGCCTCTCACTGGTAGAAGTGTTCAAGTAGAAATGGATGACCATAAGCAGAGCAGAGATGTTGTAGAGGGGATTCATCCATCAGGCAAGGGGTTGGACTAGATGACTTCTAAGGACCCTCCAGTTCTGTGAGTCTATGATTCTAAAAGCTTCCTATCTATGGAAAGAGAGTACTTGGGACTAAGCAAATTAGGCTTCTTAAGGAAATAGTTTTCAGGTTCAATGTTGATAAGCTAAATAAAATGTCACTTCTCAGGAGTAAGAGTAAGCAGATAAAACAATGGCTCAATATGACTTCACACAATCTCTTCTCCCTAGAAGAACATCAAGAAGGCAGTGCAGTGGAAGTGGAAAGGACACTTGACTGAGAGTCCGGTGGCCTAGGCACAGTTCCAGCTCTGCCACTAGTCATCATATGACCTGGGACAAGATCACTCCCCCTCATTGAACATTACTTTTCAAAAAATGAGGGGGTTAGAATAATCTCTAAGGTCCGTTCCAGCTCTGATATCCTCTGGGTTAGGATCTTCCCTAGCACAAAAGTATTGCTCAGTATATGTTTACTGAATGAAATATATACTAACCCCAGCAGTTTTTAGTTTCAAGTATTTAATGATTTTCAAATAATTCAATGTGTGGAAAAGCATTGTGAAATATGTGAAACACTATGAAGATATAAACAATTTCTGTTAGAAAAGAGCTAATGGGAACATGATTGCTAGAGTCCATGTAAAAAATCTGAAGCATTATCACACAGAAAAGGGATTAAATGTATTTTTCTTTTGCCTGGCACCAGAGGGTATAACTAAAACCACT